TACACATACGCACTCGACGATTCTAACTATACCTCCACCAACAGCCATATATTCTTAGCGTGGATGCTTATTATTTTTTGCGCACTCATCTACACCTATGCTCCAGACTACGTTTCTGTCCGTTACAGACTTCCATAGAACATCTCAGACCATAAAATTGATTGTCACTCACAATGCGACTTCTTAGATTTACAGCTCTAAAGTATCATTGATCAGTTTGTGTGAAAAGTATGAAGAACTGATTGGTTACTCGAGGTTTGTATCTTCCTGAGATCTAATTGTTTTAGAAAATTAGCGAATCAGATCACGGACAAGCATTTCATTTTCAGTGTCCTCTACTCATTCTTTCATGATACCGAATAAATTAAAATTCAGGAGAAGGCATGGAAATATTTGTTACACATGATGAATTCTTATATAGAAAATCTTACCTGAGTCAGCACGTTTTCGCATTACACCGCGAAAGCTTTCGTCACTATCTTCATCATCAGCAAGCTGTTGCATGACACGTCGTAAAAACATATTGTACTGCTCACGCTTGCCATAATTGTAACCATTAAATCGTCGATGCAAACCTTTGTTGTACGAATTATGTGTTGCAACTGACGAATGCTTTGCAACAATTGCAACGAGAGCCATAATCACTACCACAATCGTAAACGAACGCATTTGTATGTTGTTGTTTGTTATTGAGTGAGGATATGAGTGTATCCGTTGATTGATGGAAAATGGTTCTCTCTTTATAGTGACGATGAGAACAGGTGCGCATTCTTCCGGAACGCTGCTTTGATTTGAAGGCAGATAAAGTAAATTCGTTGTTTCTATAACAATAGAGAATAATTACTTTGTTTACAAGCAATTAAGACGTAGTCCTAATGATGATTTTCAAAATGCATTGTTACTAAATTGAACAATTATCAAACTCAAAATTCAAATTGATAATTATACTAATTGGGAAATATAAAACATTCATCTATTTTATGACAATAGCAAATAAATGATTTATTTTCAACTAATGGAGGCGTCTTTTTAATGAAGATTTTAAAAATACATTATAACCATAATGAACAACAATCCAATTAAAAATCAGATTGATAATTATTCTAATTGGGAAACATAAAATACATATCAATTTTATGATAATAGCAAATAAATGATTTATTTTCAACTAATCGAGGCGTCTTTTTAATGAAGATTTTAAAAATACATTATAACCATAATGAACAACAATCCAATTAAAAATCAGATTGATAATTATTCTAATTGGGAAACATAAAATATTCATCAATTTTATGACAATAGAGAT